TGAATAGTTCTTTTACAGGAATAAATTCGTTCAAATTCTTCTTGGCTTATTCGGGCTTATTTATGGTACGCGATGAAGAGTTCTTCCAAGGTAATTACATTTGACGCAACTTTTTCATTTATTTTTTTACTCTAGCTAATTTCTAAATCGTGCTTCTTTAAAATAGTTTCGGTCTTGCGAACCATGTCTTTATTATTTTAATTTAGCCCAAAGCCTAAAGCCTAAAGGGTGGTCAGATTTGGCAGCGACGCGACCGCTCGCGTCTAAGCCTGTCCCCATCTGATGACAATGCTTTTGAATGCTTTTGATTTCTATTGGAAGATCATAAACCCAGTTCTTCGTTTCAGGTATGCTTGCCTGCTCCAAACTCGGAGCCCTAGCTCGTGTTCATGCTGAAAATGGATCGGTAATTGAAGAGAAATGTAAAATGCTGCTCAGCCAAGGAGTCACTGGCCCAGAAGGTCATACACAGAGTCGGCCGGAAGAGGTCTGTATTTTCTTGAACATCAGGCAATGGCTTACTCTTGATCTTCATATCCTCCAAGTTTGGCATGGATTAGATTGGTCTCTGCCAATCTAATTCATGCCAAACTGCGTATGGCGTGCTGTAGATTATTGTGATTTCTGCCATCCGTTAGCTCGATCAGCCCCTTCCCCTTCCCCTATCGGTATTCCCATCCTACCGGCTGTACCCCCTTCCAGATTGGGACGCTCTAGTTCTACGGGGACATTAGCCAAGCATTCCCGGTCCAACCATACGCTGGCACACACCAAAAGATATACTTAACGATTTATATAGTAGAATCGTTCAGTTAGAAGCCGAGGCAACAAACCGTGCTTGCGTGATGGCATCGCAGGCGAACTGCCCACTATACGTAGTCCATGTGATGAGCAAAGGAGCCGCCAGGGCTATAGCACATCATCGACAGAAAGGTTTTTTGAATTTTTTTTTCGAGAGAATTCCTTGATTGTTTCGTGACAGTAGGATCATCAATAATTCATATATATTTTTAAATTTGTTCACATCGTCATCAAAACCAACACACATCGTCAATATAAGGCACAATTACCCAGAAAGTGTTGTGGGAGCTCAGTATGTCAATCCCAAGCAACATAAAGATGTTATATCCATGCTTAGCCAAAAAGAGAAAGAATAAGAGATGATTGTTTGGAATGAAGGAGTTCTTCATATATGGGCCTACAACTCTTACAAATTACGTGTCTCTTGGCGCTTCCGTACATTCGGAGGCGGAGCGGTGCTGACGGGTCCGAATCATTTCCATCTGATGTGAGCACTAACAAAGTAGTCAGAACCGTGAATTCTGTACGTATCTGATTCGGTCTTACTGTGATTTTGCCGTAGCTTATGAAAATTCGTTTTTATTATTCATTCCAGGGCATGTGATTTTCGGTGAGCCGATCGCTGCTGGTTTAGCTGTCGACGGGTCGCACTACTATGATAAGGTGTAGAGATTACTATCCTTTCCATATTTGTAAATTTAGAACTAACCATGAAGTCGTACTTGAACAAAAAGTTAGTTACGAAATCTCATAGGGTGGGTGATACACTTTGCGGCAGCCGCGTCGCATCGCGTTCCGACAACTGCGGTCGCGACGCGGCTGCCACAAAGTGCACCAGTGAACCATAAAGACAGTTCCATAAGGAAAAAACTTCTAAAGTGGGAAAATCAAACTCATTAATAATTACGATTATTCAAGGACTGGGTCCATGCCGCTCAGTACGTCATGTCTCCACCGTTGAGCCGAGATCCATCAACTCCCGAAACGCTAATGGATATGTTAGCCGCGTACGTTCACATACTGAAAAACAAGAAGTGAATTTGGGTCGTTCATTTCAATTCAATAAACAGATGTCTTTCAGTGGTGAATTGCATCTGACCGGGACTGACAACTGCACTTTCAACTGTCACCAGAAATCAGCTGGCCGTAATGATTTCACGAAAATTCCCAACGGTGTAAACGGTGTTGAAGATCGCATGAGTGTCGTATGGGATCGAGGGGTTCACACAGGAAAAATCGATCCAATGCGATTTGTACAAATCACAAGGTAAGCAGCCTTATGGATAATCTCAGAGGTATACATATATTGATCCTACTGATAGTTAAAAGGACCGTTCATTGGGCGCTATATTGAGAAAAGCTTAACTCTGTTCTTCATCACCTTCAGAATTTGTTGTAGGTCTTACGAATAAGCGTCGT